TCACAACTTTGTGCATGACAAACAGTTGGGTCAGATTCCAGAGCCTGGGCCTGTTTGCCCCTTACTGTCCCCGTTCGTCTTGTCTCCATTTGTCCTCAGGTAGCTCACGTTCCCGCAGGTGCTGCTCCTCATGGGGCTCCAAGGGGCCATGTGCCTGGCTGAGAATGATGACAGCAAGAAAGATGAGCACTGGGGTGGGGGTGAGTAAGACAAAAGGAAGCCCTTTCACATGGGTGATGAGTCATTTGGTCCAGAAATAGAGACCTAGGACAAAATGACATGGTTCCATAGGGTCACAGAGTCAGCAAGGGCCATGTGGATCCTCGAGGTAGATGCGGGGCTTCCCCCCAGAACTATCTTGCTGTCCTTTCTCTTGGACTCTATCACAGACTACCCCACCAAGGTCCATGTCGGAAACCTGGGGCACCCTTGATTTCTCCTTCCACTCACAGCACTCACATTCTGTCCCCAGCCCTCTGGCTATGACTAGGTACTGGGCTCCCAAGGACTACCCTGCGTCTATGCCCCAGGAGGCTGATGGCAGGGACTGCCTTTATGTTCTTCCCTAGCTCCCACCCCAGCACAGCCACCAGGGGTTTACTGTGTCCCCAGCTGAAGGGCAACACCTTCTGTGTGACATTCGCCTGATCCCCTCTTGGGTTCCAGTATCCGTTCCCTCCCGTGTCCTCTCTGGTTTAGAATGGTAGTGGCACCACACTGTCCCTAACCCTAAGGTATGACACCAATCTTTAACATTTTTCTTAAGTCTGGTCACACTTGGGCAAATCAGTGAAACTCCTCTCGTAGTACTCAGTTGGAGGATGCCACCTGTTTTCTGCCAGGATGTAACGTACAGAAGCTCCCTTGAAGGATTTCGGTAAGGAGTGAAGATACTGGATCTAAAGCATGAAGATCAAACACTAATGCACAGTTGTCCCTTGATGCTTGCGAGGAAGCTGTAATTAACTGTTACCTCCTAAGTCCCTCTGTAAGCACCATTTCTCTCTGTTTTCACTGCCTCTTTCCTGGGAGAGGTCTCTGTTGCCTTTATCCTGCCCATCTTATCTTCTTGGTCTCCTGTCCCTAGTCTGCCCCTTGCTCCTCTGCAGAATGGTCTTCCTGTGTGCTGAAGCCTCCTCTCACCCCTAGACTCTCATAGGTGCAGCTTTCCAGCACCTTGGTGGAGCTCAGATTCCTTAGCAAAGCTCACGGGGACCCCCAGCCCTCCTTTCAGCAACTTTGGGCTGACTTGGAGCTGTTGGGTCCACCCTAAGGGTCTTGGCCAGGTAGCAGCTAGGACGCTCCAGAGGGGTAATGAGTAAAGCCTGGGTGCTGAGAGGGACGGAGGTTGCAGGTGGTGCCTGGGAGGAGCCCTTCCAGGATGCTCCTACTGAGGTAACATGGCCTTGGAAGGCAGGGATCAGAGCCTCCCCACCTCCAGAGGCATCAGGCAGCCATGGGATCTGACCCCATTCGTAGGGGAAACAGGTTTGTAATAACATAGATACAGATTCAAGGGCTCCTTTCCACGCAAGAGAAGGAAACAAAACCTGTAACCAACACCCAAGCCTATGAATATAACGTATAGTAGCCTTCTCTAGGTGGAGGATATATCCTAAGACCCCTAGTAAGTGCCTGAAATCTCAGATAGTACCAAACCCCACATAAAAGTACCTTGTTTTCTTCTATATACCCTGCGATATTGCCACATAATGCCAGTATTAGTCTGTCCTTCCATGTTTTATGCCTTAGTACCCACTTTGCCTCACTTCCTGTGCACTTTGGCGACATTATTAAGTAAAATAAAAGTTACAACATTGCAATACAAGGACAGTCACTCTGATAACTCAGAGGGTTACTAAGTGGCTGCTATGGTGTGTATCTAGATGTCCCCTCAAAGCCTCATGGGGTCATAGGTGGGGCTTTTTGGAGGTGGCTGGATATAGGGTGTGTGATACTGGGATTAAGTACGTGATCTGGATTAAAGGTATGATACTGGGATTAAGGGTACCCATCCTGGATGTGAGTGCTACCCACCCTAAGTATAGGTAACCTGGATGGAATATAAGGGACAGAAAAGGCGCTGCTGCTACTGCTGCTGCTGCTGCTGCTGCTGCTGCTGCTGCTGCTGCTGCTGCTGTTTGTTGCTGCCTGCCTGCCCTGCAATGGATTATTTCTCCCTGTGATGCCCCTGTGCCATGCACCCTGCCTTGGAGCCACCTGACTATGGTCTGAAATCTTTACTAATTGTGAGCTAAATAAATCTTTCCTCCTTTAACTTATGGGTGTTAGGTATTTTGTCTCAGCGACAAGAAAAATAACTAAAGCAATGACTAACAAGCATGTAGCATATACAGTGTGGATACTCTGGACACAAAGATGATACACATCCTGGGTGAGACAGAACTCAGAACAGCAAACAATTAAAACTTATGAATGATTTATACCTGGAATTTTCCTTTAATATTTCCTGACCACAGCTGTCCACCACTAACTGAAAGAATGGAAAGCAAAACCACAGGCAAGAGAGAGATTGCTATAATGGTTAAGACTCTGGAATGAGGACTTCTGAATTTGAATATCAGCTGCACTCCTTACTGGTGGTGTAAAACTGTCCCGAAACTGCTATCACATAGCAAGTGCCCCAGCAATGTACACTGTGGTTTTGATACTATTGCCTGGAAACTCCAAAGAGGAAGAAAGGGGCTCAGACAAAGCTGCACTGGGGCTTTGGAGGATTAACATATTTCCTGTGGAGGAGAGAATGAGTGGAAGGGCATTCAAAGCAGAGGGCAGAGCTAGGGTTGGTGATTAGATTGCCCTTTTGGGGAACAGGAAGGGTGTGAGGTACCTGAAGCCCAGGTGGGAAATGAGGCCAGACTGAAGGGTGGGAGCACGGCCCCAGGGGTGCTAAGAAGCCTCGTGAAGGTTAGTGCCAGGGTCAAGGTATGGTCAGAACTTGTTCTGGAATGATCAGCCTGGAGCTGGTGCTGGGTAACGGGATTTTCAAGTGGGGGTGGGGAGCAGGCCAGAGAGAGCAGCTGTGAGGTTCCCCCCATCCCTCCAGTCTCCCACCCACTCTGGGGCGGGTAGGGAACCCCTGCAGTAAGGAATGAATGCAGCGCTCCAGTATAATGGGGAGAACACCTCCCAGGTCCCCCACCCCACCCTTAAACCTTCTTCCTCCCTTTGCCCTGGGAATGCCCAGGACTCAGACACCCTCTGGGAGCTGTCCTTTCTTATGCCTGGCTGGTCTTGCACTTTTCCCTTTCCCTTCCTGGACTGCAGAGTGAGAAGCCATCTATTTCCACAACTTCTGCTCAGCCCATTCTGCTGGGCTTCAGCAGGCAGCTGCAGAGCCCTGACCAGGAGGCACCTGGCTGTGTGGGAACTGAATGCCCTTGGGCCTCCACTTCTTTCCTGAAGGCGGTGCTCACTTACCCATACTTTGCCTGTATGGAGGCCACAGACTGTGTCCAGCAGGAGGCCACCCAGCCAGCAGAGCAGGACTTGCTTGGACCCTAGGAGCATTCCTGAGCCCCTGTGTAGTGGCCTCAGGGACTCAGCTCAGCCATGAAGGACACTCAGGTGCATTACCCTGCATGGCAGGAGACAGCCTAGAATGAGGACAATGTAGGAACCTGGACTCAGCATCTGCTCCTGATGCCACTCCTTCCTAGCAGTGGGATGCTGAGCAGTATCTTTGGCCTGCCTGGGTCTCAGTTTCCCCATCTGTAAAGTGGGAATAACCATGCCTGGCTTACCTGGCTGTGAAAGGGTCAGCAGTACCCGCAACACTGCAGGCGCACAGAGGCCCCTGTGGAAGTGTCAACTATTGTTACTGTGCTGTTTTTCTGCTCCTGGATACACAGAGAGCCAACCATGTGAGAGTAACAACTGGTCCAGGAGAGAAGACATTGCATGGGAATTTGGTATCATGGGGTGGGAGACGGGGGAAAGAAAGGAGGAAGCAAAGAGAAGCAAAGAACGGATCGTGAAGGTTCACCTCAGCCTCTTCAGACCACACAAGAAGCCCCACGGCAGCAACCCTGAGAAGCTGGCTGGGCCCCACCTGCACACTTCCAGGGATGGGAAACTCATCACCATTTCAGATTACTTGACTTATTGTTAGACTCTCTGACGTTAGTGAGTTCTTCCATGTGTGACACGTGTCTCAGGCCTTAGCAAGACACCCAAACTTCTCCCCAAAAGTTCAGGTCTCTGGAGACTTTCCTCCTCCAAGTAGTTCTGGGGATTTTCAGTGGGACCTTACGTGACGCTGAGCTCACAGGGAAACTGACCAAACCAGACTTCTGGCCAGCCTTTCACAGCCATGGGCACCACACCAGTCCGTTCTTAACAATAAGCATGGTATTTATCTAGCGCTTATAGTGTGCCAGGCCTGTTTCCATATTTCCCCAAAAGTAAGACCAGGTCTTAACATTAATTTTTGCTCCAAAAGACGCAATAGGACTTATTTCAGAGGATGTCTTATTTTTTAATGTACAACAATCTGTTTATTCATGTATAACAATCTACACTTATTCAAATACAGTCGGGTCATCTGGAACATCATCATAACTCTCTAAACCCCAAATTCAGGCTTCAGTTTCTTGTGACTCCATTTCCCATAGACCCTTGGCCCCAATCTCTCATGCCCAGCAATAGCGTGATCCTTAATTGAGCACTTCTTGTCCATGTAGCCTGCTTGTAGTGCATTGGCAACACAGCGGTCAGTGATTTTATCCCACGAATTCTTCACCCAAGCCATGAGCTCTTGCAGGCCAGGCCTCCCAAAATTTCCATTAAATCAAGTGTTAACTGAAGACTTACGAGACAGGCATGGTAACAAAAATGATGACACGTTAAGAATAATGCTCCACACGAAAGCGACAAAAAATTGCAGGCACCAAAATTCAGAAAAGGTTTATTTCACATGACTGCATTAATCATGTCTGTTACAACACAGGCCACATTGAATTATGAAGATTCATGTTAGACACAAGCACATCTGTTCGTTATCAGGTGCACACATTATTCATGCATTGTATTGGTACTCTGATGGGTCATTTGGCAATAGGACTTGACTTTATCTGTTTACATAAGCATTTACCTCTTCTCCAAGGGTGGCCACTTGGGTATTTACAAAAACTTAATTATAATGTATGTTATCATTTAAGTACTAATAACAATAATATTATTTATATTTAATTACATGTTAGTATTATTACAATGGTCCTTTGGTTCATGATCATGATTCCAAAGCAAATTGGATGAGAACTGAATCAGATTTCCCCATAAGATCAACATTGAATCCAACCATTGAATTTGATTGGGTACCACTGTATTTTATAATTCCATAGGTACGTTGTGTGCTGCCATAGATGTTCTAAATGGGACTGTCAGGCTGACAGTCTTAACTAGGACTTATTTTGGGGTAGGACTTCTATTAGGAGCACTCTAAAGAATCATGCTAGGGCTTATTTTCTGATTAGGTCTTATTTGGGGGATATCCATTAGAAGAAGGGTACTTGCTTTCTGTGTGACCTTGGACAAAGTAACTTAATCTTGTAAAGTGTGTCTTGTTTTTCTGTTAAATGAGATAGTAGCTATGTCACAGATGTGGTGCAGAGTAAATGAATGGGTAGACTTAAAGTGCTTAGAATAGTACTGGGCATCTACCAAATGTTCCAAAAAATGTTAGCGGTCATTATCACAACTTAGTAAGTTAGGTTCTAGTAATCATTCCATTGTTCAGGCAAGGAAACAGTCCCTGAGAACTGGCGTACTTTCAGAAGTCTCACGGTTAGTTAGAGCACCCAGTCTCTCCTAACCTCTAACTCAGTTAGAGGCATGCATGCAGCAGAGGGCTGTTTGTGTCACTGAAAGCTCTAACAGGTTCGCCATCACTGCTCTAACTGATAAAGTGCTTCCCCTTACGGAATCTGGTCTCCTCTGGGTGAAACACCCCCAATTATTCTAGCTGTTGACCTCAGCTTTTTTTCTGGGCAAGTGTAGCACCCAAGGGGTAGTATCCAAGTTTCTTCTCTACAGCAGGTGAGGCCTCCGTCATTGAAGGCTGAAGGACTCCAATGGGTAGAGTGTGATAGAAGACAGGCCAGGAGTTGGTCTGGATGCCCAGGGTAGAAGCAAAACGTTTCAGAGGGACAATGGGAGGGTGTGGGACAGGTAGGTGCCTTTTGGTTGTCCAGAAGCTGCCTGGGATGGGTGAGGACAGTGGAAAAGCCTAGAAATTAGAGCCCAACAGAGGCAGCCTCCTTGCCCTGTGTGTTCTGCCCTCTAACAAAGTGGTCTTGCAAGATAAAAGGGGCCCAAGCCCTGGGACCTCCAAGAAAACCAAAAATGATGGGGATGGGATGCTTAGGCTGCATGTCAATGCCTAGAGCCTGGGGACTAGATCCCTCAAATTTGACCAGGGACAAGACCCCACCCTGGAGCCTCAGTTTCCCTGACTGTAAAATGGGTGTGTAGAGCCAAAAGTGCACTCTGAGGGCCTGTTTACTGCTAGGGGGTCTTCTAAACACTTCACAATGAGGGGACCAGGCTGATGTTGGGAAGTGGCCTGGACCAGAGATCAGGAGACCCGGGTTGCTCCCTTGCTTCCTGTTCAGATCCGCTTTGTCGCTGGAGCAAATCACTTAGTTTCTCCCAGGTTCAATTTTCTTAAGTGGAGAAAAAAAAAAAGACAGAGGAGAAATAGTCACAGCTCCAAGCTCGCTAACCCTCCCCTCTGCTACGCTCTGCCCCGCCGAACCGCATGCCTGAGGGAGTGAGGGGCACCCAGCCTCTGCGGTGAGGCTGGCTGGCGCGCACCATTTCAAGGCACACGTGTGGACACACACCAGTGCCCAAGAATGAAGTTCCTTGCCACGGTAAAGACTACCTGGGCCATGCATGGATTGGGGGCTTTGGGTTACAGTGTGCCTCGTGGAAGGCGCGTACCTTGATCTCCGAAAGCAGCCACGCTGGAATCCCTTTTGTAAATCAAGGGAAGCCCCTTCGTTTCTTTCCTGGAAAAAAAAAATAGCTTTTATAAATTGTATTTGCTTAAAGGGAAGCGATCAGAGACCAGCCCGTTTCCGGGGCTGTTGGGTGTGCTCATTTGCATATGGATATGCTATTTATAAAAGCACGTCTATTCATTAAAGCAGCTTCCCCAAGGCCCTCAGCTGCTCAGCAAGGTGCTGGCTGCACGGGGCGCGCCAGCCTCGCATTCTCTGGTTCTACACGACCTCACCAGCCCTTGCGATAAGGCGGTCGGTCAGGGGCCAGGAGAGGGAAGGAGGACTAACCTGGCGCGGGGCGAGGCGGTGGGGGGTGGGGCTGGGCGGGTGGAGGCAGGTGCAGAGGTGGGCTTCGGGGCTGCGCCCTGACCCCAGCCGGTGCCGGGGGTGGTTGGGGAGGCTTTAGCTTTCTCACCCGGCCTGGCGATCCAGGCCGGGTAACGACCTCCAGCCCGCCCCTCCCCAGCTTTGCAGACCCTTCCGCAGAGAAAGCCTGGCTGGTCGCGGTGTCCGAGCCCGGGTCAGCCCGGGAGGCTCCTGCCGGTCACCGGCGGGAGAGTCCACTCCACGCAGGGCCGCCTGCCTCTCTCGGCGCACCGCCCTCCACCTCTAAGCGCACTCTTTTCTAATGGGATTAGGCTTCACACGGGTCAGGGAACAATTTATTATTCTGCTGGCTAGAGCCAAGTTTCTCTTTGAAAAATGGTTACTCCCGGAGTCGGCAATTACTTCAAAATAAATTTACCAAAGACAAAATTGTGCCTCTTGGGTCAGTAAACGACTTGCCTGTTTGGGGCTGAGGAGACAAGGTGTTTATTAAGGACCACCTTCGTTTCCTGTGCAGGTTTTTCAGTTTGAATAATTGTCCAATTAAATATAATTTGGAAGTCAGTGCTAACCCAGTGGCTGGATTGCAGGAGGAAGAATCACTTGGAGGCGTGCATTAATAAATCCCTCGGAGCCCCACCGCTCCCTAAGCCCCTCCTTTGGTTTAATTTTGAGAAATTTTTTTGTCTTCCCACAGCCTATAGCCTCCCATTTGGAAGTGAGCTTCTTTTCCCCAGAAGAATTCCTAGGCCTTGCTTCCATCTGTCTGTCCGCGTCTCTCCAGCAAGCAAGGCCTGGGGTTTCTTGCCTGGGGCCTGCACGCTATGCTGAGGCTGACTGGGCGATTCTTTTAAGGCCTGTGCACTTATGGATTTCCTCTTTCGTTCTTTCATCCATTCAGTCAACGAACACCTCCTGAGAACTTCCTCTGAGCCAGGCCTGGGCTGGAGGAAGAGAAAAACCAGACATGGTCCTGTCCCTCAAAGATGACTCAGTTCAATGAGAGAGGGACATACGAAAAGGTCATTGACTCTCAGACCAAATCAAATTTCCCATAAGGTCAACGTTGACCCTAACCACGGAATTTGATTCGGTCCTCATCCGATTAGTTTGCTACCAGAATGGTGGAGAGAATTAAATTCAACAACTGAGGTACCACTGTAGGTGGCAGCCCTGGGGACCCCGCAAGATGCTCAGTCCCCTAGGAGTGGCTTGTGGAGGGCAGCTGAGGGATCCAAGGATTTATGTGGCACCATTCTGGCCAGCTGGGTGTGATGGTACAAAACCCCAGCACAATGGCCTGTCCCTGTAGGAAGGGATCAGAGACCTTGTCCTGGACGTAGAAGCCATCTTTCCTGAGGGCACTTTCCTTTCCAGGGACAGAGTCTAGGCCAAACCACTGGCCTAGGAAATGGTCTGAGCTATTTTTCTGGGAACCTGTGGCCTTACCTGGGATCCTTCGTGGTGCTCTCTGGAAATTCCTGGAGCACAGGAAGTGGGGCGCCAGCCCTGGATGGGTCAGGTATTGGCCCACCATAGCTGTTCATGCATTGTACAACGACTTACTGAGCACCTCCATGTACTTAACACTGTTCTAAGTGCTGGTGACACCGTGACAACAACAGGGGCATAGATCCCTGCTGACATGAGTGCTGAGATTTTAGTGTGGGGTAAGCAAAGGAAATAGTGTGTCAGTTGTAATGAATGCTGTTCAACAAACTATAATGGGAGGATGGTTAGGGAGCTCAGGGGCTGGGTTACAACTGTGAGGGGGGTGGTTGGCGAAAGTTTCACTGAGAACGTGGTATTTCAGTAGAGACTTGAGGGTGAGCTGGGAAAGGGAAGGAGAAGAGCTTTCTGGGCCTGAGAATGGAAGTCCCCAAGGCGGTAGTGCTGGGAGGAATATGTGGCTAGGTGGTAAGTGCTGGTGGACTGAGGAAAGTGGTGTGGACCCAGGTTGGGGAGTCACAGAGGAAGAGATGGCAGAAGACACAGGAAGTGAGGGAATAAGCTGAGGGCAAGGGCTTTGTCTTCTGGCTTCCTCTTCTAGGTTAGACACTGCCACTGACTGCCGCAGAGCCCCGTGGCTCCACGGTCCACCGTCCCAAAGGCTCCCCACAGGCCCACAGTGGTGTCCCCTGGCTCCTCTGAGGTAAGTGCTGGCTCTCAGGCAGCTCTGTGGAGCCCTGTGGGAAGGAGGCACAGAGCTGGTGGTGAGGGGGTACAGAGCCCCAGTCAGCTGGGCCCCCCTAGCTGCCACTCCCATTCTTCCTCAGCCCCACAGGGAAGGAAGGAGCAGTGTTTGTCTGCCCATATTCACAGCTATGGAGGTGATCCAGGTTGAAAGAAAATCAATAAGATGTGTCCATTTATGTGGCACAAAGGAAGAAAGGTCTGCAGACAGAAATAGGCCGGGATTCACACGCAGGCGACTTAATAAGACTTTCCCCCAGTTTGAAGAGGACGGTAATTTAGATTTGCCTTTGAACGTCTCCTTTTTTGTGCCTCAATAACTCTTAGGATCAGCCTGCTTAGGAAGCAAGGAAAGGAGATTGGCCGCCTTCTTAGAAGACAAGCCCGTTTGGGAAGGCCGCTTGCTCGGAGAAGTTCAAACAGCGGCCTTGAGAAAAGATGAAAGTGCCGCATCAGCACATCCTCGGCCCATTGATCACGATGGAGGCCTGGGCCTGGTGCATTTGGGCTGGGGCGGGACAATGAGAACAAGGCCAGGCTGCTGGGAGGCCTCCTCTGAGCCAGAGCAGCGAGAGAGACGCTCATTACTGGCCGTGGGGCTCAGTGGCCAGGTGGGGGCATGAGGCAGCTAGGCTCCAACTGCAGAACCTGGGCCCAGCCCGCAGGTCCGACAGCCCACACCCAACTTTGGCCCAAAAGGCAGGTGGCCTCCAACAACAGGCTGCGGCAGGCAGGGCTCAGGCTGCCTCTCCGGCCCAAGCCCGGCCTATGAGCAGAGCCAGTTCATCCCCTTTCACCAGGGATGTCTGCCAAGCCAGTCTAGAATGCCTTCAGGAAAGAGAAGAGGCTGAGTCCTGGCCTGCGGGGGCTCTGCTGCCATCTGTGGGAACATAGAGCTTTGCCTGCCTCACAGGACTGTGGGCGGGGCTGGCGCCCACTCTGTGCTACCTGAGTGGCTCTCTCACCCGGGCTGTCCACCCTGACAGGAAAAGCTTGGGCCCCAGGGCTTCCGTAAGCTGGGTGGGTCCTAGCTGCAGAAAGAGGGTCTGGCCACGTTCTCTGTCCTTCTTCACAGACCTCCTTAAGCTTCACCTCTGTCATCTCAGCCTGAAAGACAAACACCGTGTTCAGTGTCCTCGTCACGCCCCAGGCCCTCCCTGCTGCAGTCCTTATCGCAGTGTCATTGACTCAGTTCTTATCACACTGTGCTGTCCCTGACCCAGCCCTGACCATAGGCTCTTTCAGAGTGGGCACTGCCCGGAGCATACGCCTGGTGCAGAACAGCTGCTGTTATGTCTGTAGTTCCTCCTTCCTCAGCCAGCGAGGCCAGGGGGCAGGGACAGCTGGGGCCCTGTGCCCAAGGTGGTTCCAAATCTGCCAAGGTCACAGGTGACTGGGTGAGCTGCAGGCCCAGCATGCGGTGCCATCTAGCTTCAGCACAAGGCTCTTCCTCCTCAGTGACCTGGACCCCCTCAGAGTCTCCCAGGGCGCCAGAAGAGGCCTGGGAGCAGGAGTCAGGGGATTTCACTCCAAAGCCCAGTGTGCATTGGACCCTGCACAAGTCCCTTCTCCTCCTTCACAGTTTCCTCTTCTTAGACCGAGGTGCTGCTGTCCAGGCCTGGTACAGCAGCCATCGGTCACAGGGAGCCTTGGAGCCCTTGCAACATGGCTAGTCAGAACTGAGATGAGATGAAGGTGTAAAACACACACTAGAGCCCTAAGACTGATTACATAACAAGAGGATGTAAAATATCTAGTTAGATTCCCAGTACCACATATATACAATGTTATATGGACCATATGTTCAAATGACAATGTCTTAGGTTTCATAAACCCAATGATAACATCAGGTGGAGTAAATTATTAAAATTTATTTAATCTTTTTTTTAATGTGACTACTAGAAACTTTAAAATTACGCACATGGCTTTCAATGTAGTTCTGCCCAGCACTGGCCTACACGGTCTCTGAGTGGGAAGGTCCCAAGCATCCACAGTGTGAGATAGTAGGTGTGAACAGAGTCATTTTCCCAGGGGTGACACTGGCTCCTAAGAGAGACCAGACCTGCCTGGGGAAGGGTTAATGCCAAAAGCTGAGCCTTTTGGAAATCTTTAGGCTTTTCTAGTACTGGGAGCCAATGGCCGTTGTCCCGGATGAGGTAATGCTTGCAAGGGCTCTCTCATTGGTGGTTGAGGATGTCACTGGTGAGCAGAGGTGGGATCCTCCCATCACTTCCTTCTTTCCTCTCTGAAGTTCATCTGCTGTCCAATACTGTTGCCAGAAGGGGTAACCAAGACTACTTGCTCCTCATAAAGGGCCTGGAGACCTCTGCTAAGAAGCAGGAAAGAGGACCAGGGTGATAGGAGCTGAGAGTCTGGATCCTTCAGCCCCAGGCTCCTCTGGCCCAACCCTACTTGCACATAACTCTTCAACTGGAAGGGCCTTTGTTCCCTCGCCCCTGTATGGTGACCTCCTCCTGAAGCTCTGA